GGAACTTTAATGTGATTTAATATACTCACTCATATAAACATACAACATAGAATAAACCCACTAAAATCTGTACATCTAAACAAACTAAGCAAAAGAGAGGACCCTAACTAAAATGTTCAATCCCCATCCTGAAAGGCAAAGAGGATGGACATCAGAAGAAAAAGAAAATAGGAAACAACCTCGGAACCTGCTACAGAGGGCCTCTGAAAGCCAGAAGAAAACAGGAAACAACCTTGAAACCTACCACAGGGGGCCTCTGAAAGCTTCTGCAGTATAGACTGTCAAAGCAGATGCTGAGCCTGATGGCCAACTGATGGGCAGAGTGAATGGAATTTTATGTAAGAAGTGGGAAATAGTAAGAGCTGGAGGGGACAGGAACTCCACAAGGAGAGCAACAGAACAAGATAATTTGAACATAGGGAACTTCCCAGAAAATCATACTCCAACCAAGGACTATTCGTGGAGATGACCTGGAACCCCTGCACAGGTGTAGCCCATGGCAGTTCAGTGTCCAAGTGGTTTACATAGTAATGGGAAGAGGGACTGCCTCTGACATAATCTGATTGGCCTGCTCGTTGATCACTTCCCCCTGAGGGGGGAGCAGCCTTACCAGGCCACAGTAGAGGACAATGCAGCCACTTTTGATGAGAACTGATAGACTAAGATCAGAAAGAAGAGGAGAACCTCCCCTATCAGTGGACTTGGGGAGGGGCATGCATGCAGAAAGGGGAGGGAGGGTGGGATCGGGAGGGGAGGAGGGAGGGGCTTATGGGGGGATACAAAATGAATAAAGTGTAATTAATAAAAAATTTAAAAAAATTCCATTTTCTTTCTGATTTTTTTCTCATGTCTAAGAATATCATGTCTTACAGTACACTTTAGTTTTCTTGTCAATTTTTTTCTGTATGTCTGAAGATAGTGCATGTAAAGAGAAATGTGTTTTCAGTAAGAGCTTGAGAAAATATAGAAAGGTGCCAATAAGAATCCGGGATTCTGTGGCTGAGGCGATTTTAGTGGGACATAGAATTCAGATCTGAGATTGGATGATAAAAGAGAATTCACACTGAATTCTGATTTAACTTTCTTTTTATGTTGGGAAGTTGTTTAATGAACACATTTGGGATAATGAGATTTGGAATATGGAATCTGTCTTAAACCATCAGGACTGTGAGATGATAAAAAGACTATTTTCATGTCCTTTAGAGTTGTTTTTTGATTTCTAAAGTGAAGACTGTGTGAATGAGGGAAATGAATCACAGAAAGGGAACGAATTTAAAATCCTAACTGAAATTCTCAAACCACCAGGAGGAACGCATTAGAAGCTTTTATTGCTGTTTGCAGGAGCTTCTGAGAACTGACTGCAGTGAACGGGAAAGTTTTTTACTGTGATGGAGGCCTTGCCCTCTGGGCCCTGCTCAGAAGCACCAGACACCCACAGGCCCTGTGGGTTCGTACCATTCTCTTCCGTAGTTTCAAAAAGGAAGGGGATTCTAAAAAGGTGAAGCACGGGATCTGGGTTGCACCCCAGGAAAGGGTCTTAATCCCTATACTTGACCACACTTTATGTTTTCTTCAAAACACACAGAAAAGCAAAAACACACACAATAAATTCATCCATAGAACTACGCTTCACACAGGAGGAGACAGCAAGGGCATACTTAATGGTGTGAACTCCAAACCAGGTGTGTGGGCTCACCCTATCATGTTCGTAATAGGTTAGTATTAGGAAAGCTATACATTCTCTGTGAGCTTTCATTCCTTCTCTGTGAAATTGGTAAGAAATACCTACCTTGTAGAGTTATCTGAAGGAAGTAAAAGGGCACTTGAAAAACATGTAGCATGCTGTTTGTCTCTAAGGTATAATAGCATGATCCATGATAATCAGTGGTCTGCTGCAGGCCAACAGCCCTCTTCTGTATGCTTAGCATCTCACTAAAGAATACAGACAAATGAAGAGGGGGTGATGGTAGAGGGGAGGTGTATGAGAAAAGAGGGAAGAGTTCCTCAGAAATGGACATGAGAATAATTGTCTCTCAAACATTTGAGCAAGTAAGAGAGAAATTCGGTAGCAGGCAGACATGCTTCTAAGGAATCTAGAGGATGCTGAGCTTGGAGAAGACCCAGATGGAGCTGAGGGATGCACAAGCTCAGAGGTGACAGTGAGTGAAAGTGTTGCTTCCTCTCACCTTCTCAACAACCCTATCTAAACCTAGGAGGAGAGCAGACAAAATGGAGAAAGGAGTCATAGGAGATTGGAAAGGTAGAGTCTAACAGGAGCAGCCAGACAGCCTGGCCAGCAGCCCTGAAGTACAGTCAACTCCCTGTCCTCAGCACTGTAGAGAAAACCCGTTTGTTTTATAATTAGCACAGGATAAGGGGAATGGTTTCTCCCATCTTGGCATGAGGTTCTGGAATGTTCAGTTACAACACTGGTATGCTATCAGAAGATTTCATTTCCTGAATCTTTCACTGGTGTGTCACTGGTATGTAGGGCCTCGAGACAGTCTGTAAGGGAGAAAAAGCCAGTACCTTTATGACAACAATTAAACCCTGGTATTTATATACTTTGACATGACTCGAAGGGCATTGTTTAGCTTTTGGCAGAGCTATGAATGCCTAGGGCAGAACACCAAAGAAAAAAGTCTACTTTGAAAGCTCTCTCAGAACAAATCTGAGGGAATTCGCTGGTTAATGCAAGTACATGTCTAAACAAGTATTGGTTTGCTGAGGGAGTCCACGGGGCTGGCAAGCTTCACTTGGCACAGAGAGCACGAGTAATGCTTCATTTTAACGAGGGATCTTGGGGGTCTATAATGAGGACTGTGTGGTATTTCCCATGTGTCTCTTTGGAACGCAGGCTGATTGCATACACTGAGGAAGAAAAGTCACTGGAAAGAACATGGTTCCTGAAACCTCCAGCTCTGCAAGATCATTTACTAGCACATGACTAAATTCTCAGAAATATATCACAGCTCCCAGAGAGAACGTCCCTGTATCTCACATGAGCCAACAAACTGCAGTGATGAGCTTTTTGGGGAAGAGTGCCGGCTTTTAAGGCCAATGGCAGCTCCAGAGAGCATCCCTGAATGACTGTGCATCTTTCATAGTTGCTTTAGTTGCTTCTTCTGAAGCGAAGAGCCTTTAAATATCAAGTTCATACTTAAAACACATATAAATTCATTTCCAAGATACAACATTATTTATTTACATTTCACTAGCAAGACAAATCTCTTGGACTTTTTCTATCAGAGAAAGTCAATATTTAAGATTCTGGGCAGGAAAAAAAAAAACAAAAAACAAAAAACAAAACAAAAAACCTCAAAAAACAGAAAGTAAGTGATTAGGAAAACAAACATCCCAAGTCCCCATGAATAATCTTTCACTAGCTGGTATGTCTGAAGCCAGAAAGGGTGAACTTTATTTCCTGCTTATTCCGAAACCTAGTCTCTGAATATCACTTATATCCAGCCACATATTAGGATTTCCTGTTCCTTTCTTCGCAGGTCTTGGATATTGCATTATTGTTTATGCAAAGTGTGCGAAGTCCTGTGCTGACTCCCCTCTTAGCGAACTTTAAGCTGGCTGAAGCAAAATGCTCCCTGGAGCCTGAGTCTCCCAAAGAGCTCAGGGCTTGAGCAGGATAAGAGTTAGAGGCTGAGATTCATAGCCAAACTTTGATCAGAGTGCAGGCAATTTTATGAAAGAAGGGGGATATAGAAAGACCTGCAGGGGACAGGAGCTCCACAAGGACAGAAATAAAAAATCTGGGCACAGGGATCTTTTCTGAGACTGATTCTCCAACCAAGGACCGTGCGTGGAGATAATCTAGAAGCCCTGCTCAGATGCAGCCCATGGCAGCTCAGTGTCCAAGTGAGTTCCCTAGTAAAGGGAACAGGGACTGTCTCTGACATGAACTCAGTGGCTGGCTCTTTGATCACCTCCCCCTGAGGGGGGTGCACCTTACCAGGCCACAGAGGAAGACAATGCAGCCAGTCCTGATGAGACCTGATAGACTAGGATCAGATGGAAGGGAAGGAGGACCTCCCCTACCATTGGACTGGGGGAGGGACGTGGGAGGAGAAGAAAAAGGGAGAGTGGGTTTGGGAGGGGCTATAGCTGGAATACAAAGTAAATAAAGTATAATTAATAAAAAATAAATTAAAAAAGTGTTAGTTGTGCAGTGTTTGAAACAATGCTAGCCAGTGCTCCCGCCTGAAATAGGGGCCAGTGACCCACAACTGAGGACAAGAGAGTTCCAAGAAGCAGAAATGCTCACAGGAGGAATCACCTTGCTCTGTTAATATATCAAAGGGGACTTGGAATTACACAGGGAAATGAAAAATTATCTATATTAAGATAAACAATTACATCAAAGTGTTGAAACATGATAAAGGGTGAGGTTAATAGGAAATAAACTTATTAGGCAAAAATTCTTATCAGACAAATTTGTCACCATGGTTGGGACATCAGAGTGCCCAAGAGATCACATGGAGATGTCTCATGCTGTATGTACCCCAATATTCAAAAACAAATCAGTTAAATACATCCTACTTAGGATAATAATTTTGAAGTAGGTTTTAAGCAGATCAATAAAAAAATGTACATTTTTCACTCACAGAGGTTCATTTGCTTTCACTTGTGTTTGTTGCAACCTCCACTCCCCCAACAAAAGCAACAACAAAAACAAAATCCCAGGCAAAAGAAAAAGCCTTTAAGCTATAAAACTAGTGTCCAAGAAAAATATTTAGTTTGAAAACAAGTTGAAAAACGTAGCCTTGGAAGGCGCCTGCTTACATGGGATTGTTCGACAAATTCCTGCTGTGTGGGGTTTGGCATATATTTCTAAAAATATAAGCATCTGGGGAAACAAGACAAAGCCCAGGTCTTGGACTAAATGAGGCGCGCAGTGTGAGTCTGTTAGTGATTATGTCCATAATGCAGATGTGCCCAAAGTTAGCAGAATCTAATACAGTATGAGTGTCAGCAGGCTTGGTCCTTACCATAATATATAGCCCATGGAGAAGGTGCATATGGCGGCGAGCCCGCTGCTCCTGCTGGGATATTGATGGTGGGATGTCCTCATCTCGATTAAGATAAAGGGCAAAACCGTCGTGTGCTGGAAAAGAACAGGGAAGACTAGATTCTTATCATTGCCTCTTTACAGTCGTTTCTCGCCAACAGGAGAATGAACAGTATAAATTCCCAGGAAAGACCCACAACAGATAGCACTGCATGGCTCTCCTGTAAGAGAATGGATGTAAAAACATGTAATGTAGCATTTGCTCCATTAGTGAGTTTTTTTTCTCTATCCCTAAAGTTTTGGGAATTTTATTTTATTTGTTACTTACAATAGAAACTTTTTATAACATAAAAGGACAGAAAGAAAAACAAAAGGACGACCAAAGAAAAGACAGATGCAAAGAGACAGTTAAGCACATTTTTATGCTTAGCTCACTCTGCTTTATATGGTCCAGGGGCTCTAGGGAATGGTCCTGCTAACAGTGGAGGTGGGTCTTCTCTCATCGATTAATATAATCAAGATAACCCCGTTCAGGCCAGAATGAAGACCCATCTCCAGGAGATTCTAGATCCTGTCAAGGTGACAATGAACAGTAGAAATCACAGTGTATGTGCTATTCTTTTTCCATTCTATGCATACATAGTTAAGATCATGCTGTGACTATATTTTATTTTAGGCTTATCACAGCACTGCAGTTTAAGAATAGTTTAAAATTTAAGTATTGTATTAAAGTTTTAATATATTTTAAATATTTGAAATTTTAATATTAAACATAATATTTAAAATACATAAACTTTGTATTTATATATGTTTCATATATTATGAAAATAGCATAACTTTTTTCCTTTTATTGAAAATAGATTTTTTTCCCCATATAATATATCCGGACTACAGTTTCCTTTCCTCTGCTTCTCCCAGTTCTTCTTCATCTCCCACCCCACCTGGATCCACACTGTTTCTGTCCCTTGTTAAAAAACAAATAGGCATCTAAGGGATAATAATAAAATATAACAAGATAAAACAGAACAAAAAAAATTGGCATAGGACAAAACAAAAAACAGAAGGAAAAGAACCAAGAAAAAGCACAAGAAACAGATATAGGTGCAGAGAGATACCCATTCACACACTCAGAAATCCCATTTAAATGCAAAACTGGAAGTCCATACGATATGAGCAAAACCTGCAAGGTCATTAATTAATTAGTTAATTCATCAATCAATTAATTAAAAAACAACAGAAGCCCTGACATCATCTGTCTATAATTTTAAATAAAAATGTTTTCCTGTGGCCTTTTCAAACATCCTGTTATTTATCTTTCTTCCCTGCTTACCCTTCCTCCCCTACATTCAGTCATGTCCCCTCTGATTTTTTCCCCTTTTCTGCCTTCAAACACTGTGTTCTATTATTAGCCTCCCTGGAGTTCCTTCTCCAACCCTCTTCTCCCCATGTTCCCTTTCTACTTTCCTGGCTTCTGTGGTTAGCTCCGGTTCCATATTCCAATCTACAGATCTGGAGGTAGTATCCACAAATCAGAGGGACCACATAGTGTTTGTCTTTCTGCCTCTGTGTCACTTCTTTCAGTATAGAATTTCCTAGTTCTATCCATTTTTCTGCAAGTTTGATGATTATATATTTTTTTGCATCTGAAAATAATTCTATTGTGTATCTGTGCTACGTTTTCATTATCCCTCTGTAGGCAGAGATCCAGGCTGCTTCTATTTCCTGCGCATTGTGAACACGGCGGCAATAAACACAGTCAAACACTTATCTCTGTAGTAGGATTTTGAGTTCTTCAGGTATATGCCAAGGCGTGGTATAATTCTGTCATATGATATGCGTGTTTTTAGTTTTTTGAGAATTCTCCATATGGATTTTTATAGTGGCTGTACTAGTTTGTATTCCCACCAAGAGTGGACAAGGGTTCCTTTTCTCACATCTTTCCAGAACTTACTGCCAGTTGTCTTCTTGATCTTAGCCATTCTGACTGGGGTCAGATAAAATCTCAAAGTAGTTTGAATTTCACTGCCTTCCTTGCTAAGTATGCTAAACATTTTCCAAGATATTTTTAAAATCATTTTATAAAATTCCATGTGTTTCACGATAAAAAGTCCTAGAAAGAATAGGGCTGGAGAGAGCGCACCTCAGCATAAAGGCTATATGTAATAAGTATTCACATCATTCCTAAGCGGGGAACAACTTGAAGCTATCTTATTAAAATCAGGAAAGAGACAGGGCTGTCCACTGCTCCTGCTCCTTAGAACATACTGCTTGAAGGCTCACCTAGAGCAGTTAGGTACAAGAAGGAATTAAAAGGATCCAAATAGAAAAAGAATTCAAATTAGCCCTATTTGCATGGCACATTCCTTAAAATTCTACAAGAAAAATTTGAGAAATAACTATCACTGTCATCAAAGTGGTAGTATACAAAATCCACTTACAAAACCCAGCCATTCTATATACCAATAATAAGCACACTGAGGAAAAGACCATGCAAACATTGTTCACAGTGCCCCAACACAATCTAGGAATAAACCTAACAGAGGTGGTAAAAGGCCCCTCAATGGAAACTTTACATCTCTGAAGAAGGAAACCAGGAAGATAATGGAGAATTTTTTTTAAATTTTTTATTAATTACACTTTATTCATTTTGTATCCCCCCATAAGCCCCTCCCTCCTCCCCTCCCGATCCCACTCTCCCTCCCCTTTCTGCATGCATGCCACTCCCCAAGTCCACTGATAGGGGAGGTTCTCCTCTCCTTTCTGATCTTAGTGTATCAGTTCTCATCAAAATTGGCTGCATTGTCCTCTACCATGGCCTGGTAAGGTTGCTCCCCCCTCAGGGGGAGGTGATCAAAGAGCAGGCCAATCAGATTATGTCAGAGGCAGTCCCTCTTCCCATTACTATTTTTAATATGCCATTTTAGAAGTTCTTTTTAGAATACCAGTTTTGGCTTACACTGCTTAAGATGTTCTCTTAATCAGTGAATGTTCTCAAATCTATACACCCAATTCCTGTTCTTGGGCAGTAAGTGGCAAAAGGGTATCATCTTTTTATTTCTTAGGCATATCATGATGACATCCTTTCTTCTGGGTGTTAGGTTGCTTCCTCAGAGTGAGCAGCAGCCAAACCTGCAAGGCTCCTGACACACCACCTTAAGTCATGTGTGCAGCGGCGTCATAAGAGAAAATGATGTTGAATTTGAGGCAGTTTGCACCTGCACTGTGGAGTTGTAGATAAGACATGTGAAAGGAGAATCTTTTTTTAAAAAATATATTTTTTGATGAGTAGCTAACCTTACAATGAAATATTTATTTTTTATTTTAATCACAGGTCATTCACTTGTATCCCAGCCGTATCCCCCTCACTCTTCCCCCCCTCCCTTCCTCACCTCCTCCCTGCCCCCTTCCGAGTCCACTGATAGAGGAGGTCCTCCTTCCCTTCCATCTGACCCTAGCTTATCAGGTGTCTTCAGGACTGGCTGCAATGTCCTTATCTGTGGCCTAGCAAGGGTGCTCCTCCTTCGGGGTGGGGGAAGGAAAGCTCAATGAGCCAGTCATTGAATTCATGTCAGAAATAATTCTTGTCCCCCTTACTAGGGAACCCATTTGGATACTGAGCTACCAAGGGCTATGTCTGAGCAGGGGTTATAGGTTATATCCACGCATGGTCCTTGGTTAGAGAAACAGTCTCATAGAAGACCCCTGTGCCCTGATATATTTGGACCTTGTGGGGCTCCTGTCCCCTCTAGGTTATACTAACTCTGCCTTCTTTCATATGATTCCCTGCACTCTGCCAAAGGATTGGTTATGAGTCTCAGCATCTGCTTTGATACACTGAGACGTAGAGTCTTTCAGAGGCCCTCTGTGGTAGGCTCCTATCCTCTTACTTGTTTTCTCCTACTTCCAATGTCCATCCCATTTATCTTTCTAGGTGAGTATTGTTCATCTTACCCCAGAACCTCTTTCTTGATTATCTTCTATAGGTGTACAGATTTTAGTATGTTTATCCTATCTTACAGGTCTAGTACCCACTTATAAATGAATATATACCATGTGTGTCTTTCTGCTCCTGGGATATCTCACTCAGGATGGTTTTTTTCTAGATCTCACCGTTTGCCTGCAAAATTCATGATTTCCTTGTTTTTAATTGCTGAGTAGTATTCCATTGTGTAAAAGTACCACAATTTCTGTATCCATTCCTGTGAAAGGAGAGTCTTAAGGAGCCAAATGGAACATTCCTTTCTTCTGTCTGATCCCTACTGTATATACCAGGCGCGGTGAGTTAGAGCAGAACTGGAACTGCCCCTCCTTCACTCAGAAGGCTAGAAGTGTGAAAGCCAAGTTCCTGGATCAAATCCAAAGATCAAATGCTCTTGGTATGGAACTCTAATAGTAAGGTCTTAGGGAAAATTGCATGCTCTCCACATACCCACATCCTTCACCCATGAAGCCATTTTTGAGAACACAAATGTTGCAGAACTGACAGTGGAGTATGTTTCAGTTCTATTTAGCACCTTTTGAACAGCCACTGAAGAATCTTTGTCCTGGTCTTACTATATTGTTTGCATATTCAAAGAAAAGGCAGGAAATATAATGTTATGATTGTCAGATTCTAGCATTTTAGCAAGATGGAACCAGGTGGCAGGTAGGTGTTGGCAGATAAAAGGCATGTTGAGGATATCAAAGTAAGAATTTAGGGGAAAAATTGGCTCATATTCATGAAAAAAAAAAACCCAGAAAGATATAGTTTTGTAATAAGTATAAAAGTGCTGGGCATTCCTGGACTCAGCATTCTCTTCTAGCTCTCATCTTATCTAAGAGTTTTCGTTAGTAAGAGTGTGACATTCTATGAGTATAGGGTGAGTGGCTCCCCAGGAGTCCAGCTTCATATATCACCTTTACTGTTATTATTTTGAAATAGTACCGTTGTATCCGTGCTGAACTATGCATGAGGTGCTGCGTACTAATGCAAAGAGAATATATTTTGTTGGTTTTTCCTTATAATCTAGTTACCTTGGATGACACTGGCTGGGAATTTCACCAACAGTTTGAGCTATCAGCAGTAATATTGCAGTATAAAAATCAAAATGCATGTC